ATTTACAGCTTGAGAGTCACTCGAGGCATTAAATGCTATTCATCCGATTTTCAGAAATTTATAAATAACGACAATCTATGCACGTATTAATCCTCTAACGCCTTTAAGGCCATGCAGTCCTCCTTCGAAATAAGCTCCATTGGTACTAGACTCGTAGCAAAAGACGCCATTGCCAGTTTGAACGTCACGTCGGTGGCATCAGTCTGCTGTGAGGCACGTGTGAGTGCGGTTGGGTGCATTTTTTAAAAGAATAATTCCGACGTTAAAGGGTTAAAAGCCTTATTTTGTGCCTTAGGTCTCTTACCTTACTGTCTCACCTGGGTCTGAGTGAATTGCGACCTTTCGATAATTAGTTGACATATAACTTGAGGTGACAGAGACCAGATGTTCTTGCATTATAGCAGCCTAGAAGAGCGTTGCTTTACTTACATTCCATTGCATCTTTTAATACCCATTAAAATAATTTCCAGTAGATTTATCAATGTAAATGACATCTAGATCACCCGAAAAGTGACGCACAATTCATGATATAATATTTCATGATTAAACCGGCGTTGATTCAGTTCAGACGTCCTTTTCCCTTTTGTTTACCGCCCTTCCACCAGCGCTACAATTGAGATCACTGCACTGATTGATGCTATTTTCTAGGTGTCACTAAATTGGCTATCTACATTAGGATATTAAAGTTAATTTCGGGCTAAATGTTTATTTCCTTCCCATCCTTTCCATTTCTTAACCTTATTTTATTCCTCTTTTTTTCTCAAAACAACCACCTAAATGTACACTCGGTTGATCAGCTAAGCTTATGACAGTTCACAACTTAACTGCTGGAAAAATAGTCGTATCGATCAATATGGGCGTTATCCATTTAATTCAATGAGAATTGCCATAACTTGAAGTCAATCTTTTACAACGTCTTTAACCATTTCATGGAAAGCTGAGAATATGTGGACTATTTATTTTGCAAAGAGGAGTGTGCGATAGACTTAACTTCGCGTGGTGCACCCTAAGCACTGTATACTCAAATGACAAAATTAGTCTATAAACCGGCAGTTCACTTCTGATTTCAAGTTACCATGACTCAACACTATATGTCATATTCGACCACTTCCACAGTATACACCTTACCTTTTGCTCTACCTTTGTGTCTGTCTGTCTCTCTTTTTACATCTATGTATCACTCTTCTGTCCCTCCCCCCACTAACCATTTTGTAACCTTGATGTTCCTTCCTCTGTGAAGCCAGAAGTCAACTAAAATTGATATAAGTAAATACTGTGCCAAGAGGGAAATCAATTTCAAATTAACAAATGCATCAAATCGCTGAATACCTTCTCGCCACTAAATTAAAATATTGTGAAATTAAATATCTTTGACTTAACCTAAATGATATGCTTACTGAATGGTGGTAGAAGACGCTTATTAAAGCCGATCCGAATGTTATTAACTGTCGCAATCATGCTGGGCAAGTCGAAAGCGAGCTAACAGAAAATGATTGATGGAATTTCAGGTCATTTTGTCACAGGGGTAAAACGGTCGACACAAATTTAAAGTTGTACTTTTATAGGAGTTTAAGGCCAGTATATGCCCAACGGGGTTTGCGCTCTCGTGATCAGAATTTGGGTGGAGGGGGGAGGGGGGGGTAGGGAGGAAGGAGGCGTTTGGCGACTTCTTGTGCATTATTTTTTGCCGGGGAGTGTTTTATTCAAAATGTTTAGTTCTTTTAAAAGGCATGAGCAACCTTCCATCACTCTATGATTAAAGAGAAAATGTTAAGTCATAAAGGAAGGATAAATTTAATTCCAAATTGTAAGCGCATTTAATTTTCAAGTAACAAATCTCCTCCACAATATATCTGGTCATTAACTTTAAGTTATGTTGACAAAATATTCTTCAGATTGCATTTCCAGTTTCAGAAGAAAATTAAAATTCGAGTGTTTTTGTGGCTAGATTATGAGATATTATTAAAACATTCATTTCGAATATGATAAAGGAAGCTTGAAATTTGATCATTCCTGTTACTTGGGTAACAAACTAGTCAAACTGATGCAAACTTCAGTGGATCACTCCACGAATCTCTAAATAAAATGAGCTGAAAAATCGAAAAGTTTGTGTGAAAGGTTGTTCCAAATTTCGGACTAGAGTAAGTTAGTTGTAATGAACTCATAGCGTACTCAAAAACTTTTACATTCAAAACGCTTTTTTTCATGGTTTTAGCTTTGCTTACGAATTTGTTTTTCATATTCGCGTGAAGAAAAATTTTCATTTTTATTACTTGTCCGAATTTCTACATTATTTGAAGCTAATTTCAAACATTTTAGTTAAAAGACCTCATAAAAGTAACAATTCAAAGTGGCAACTATGGAATGAAGCTCGTTGAATCCTTTTCACCAAATGGATTATAAAATTTTACAACCCACCATTTATTTATTGATGCTGTTTAATATTAAAGAGTCATAAATCGATCTATAGCTCTGTCACCCCTAATTAATTTTTAAGTAGGTACTTACCTAGTTGGTAATAGTTGATAATATTACACTTCCATTATATTTTTGAAAATCATTATTAAATACAGAACTACTGATTATCATTAAGTAGTTATATTTCAATAACATAATATCTTGCAAATATTGTCGATGTGTTAAACTCGAGCTTGATTAAGAGGATGGCGTTATTTATATATTAACGTACTTGATTCTACAGTTTGAATAGATCCAAAGCAGTTTTGCTACGACGTTAAGATTCAACCGATTGAAAAAGATGTATAAAATTCGCGCATTACTATATGGGCAAGATGAGGAAATTTTCTGAAAAACTACAAAAGTAGTGCTTGAAATTGAGAGAAAATAATATTTTTAGACCAAATAAATTTTACTTAATTCTGTCATCATTGATATTATAATACAAATGGGAAAAAGTGTATCAAAAAATTTATCCCCAAAGTGTCATCATTGAAAACGATGTCTTTTTAATAAATAACCATATTATTTACAATAATTCGAAATTAATGCATCTCATAACAGCTTAATACATATCTCCAAGGGAATTGGTAGTAGTGTAGTAGATCAAAAGTTTCAAAATCAATTCGTTTACGTTTAAAAGATCACACCTTTACAACTTACTAATTCCAACACTTTTGTTCTCCAATTTCTTTTTATTTGAAAACCATTAAAGTAATATTGTCAATTTTTATAAATCATAGTTATAAAACACATAATAAAGTTTTTTGCAAACCCTTGTCTTATTAAACTGATGCATCAGTTACTAAAGTGCATGTCTGATCAAACCTCTTTTTTGAGTCTGAATAGTCTATCGCACATTTCGAATAGTATTGAGACTTTGGTAAAGGACGATGAAAATATTTGTTTATTCACTTTTCACCTTTTGTTGTCATCTAATTTTGATGAATCTTAGCTTAGGTTTCATTAAAGTTATCTCTGTAAGAGGTCCTATTCGAAAGATAAAGGATATCCTCCATTTGTAAACTGTCATGTCTATCCAGAAATTGGTCACAAAACTCCCTGTCACATCTTAAATTCAGGAACTCCGGTAAAACACAAGTATTTGATTCTCATCTTCCAGCTACTGAATGCTCAAGTGATTTCGATTCTCAACATGATTCATTCCCTAATTCATGGTTAATTACCACTAATCAACTCAATAATAAATGAAGCAAAAAATCTGTTCGGTTAATCGTTAAATTAATAAATCTAACCACGACATATTAAAATGATCATGTCTTTAACTGTTTGTCGAGCTGCCTGGAACATTTGTTTTCTTCAATCTTCTATCCTGATCATATTAGTCAGAAGTGATTGTGAGATTCATCACGGTGTGCGCGATAGACTCACCTCCAAGTGGTGCACCCTAAGCAATGTATACTCAAACGGCAAAACAGTCTATAAACCAGCAGTTCACTTCTGACTTTAAACTACCACAACCCCACTGTGTGTCATATTTGACCACTTCCACAGTATTTGCCTTACCTTTTTCTCTACCTTTATGACTGTCTCTTTTACTTCTCAGCATCACTCTTCCGTTCCCCCCATTCCACCTTTTGTGACTTTAATGTTCCTCCCCTCTGTGAAGCCAGAAGTTAACTAAGGGGCTAATGATAACTACCAAAAAGCCTGCCACTTGCTATAAATAAATAAGAATCATTCTTTTGAAGGTTCCTATTTAACGTTCAGAAGCGTTACTCCATTTCAAAGGTTACAATAGTACTTATGTGGTATTAGGGCGGCACCTTAGCAATTATGCGATAGAATTTTAAATAGCAACGAGCTCTGTAAAAATGAACACTCAAAGCTTCATTAATAAAAGAGTTTTAATGTATTTGCTGTAATAATTTCAAATTGGTTCGGCCTAAAACCAAATAGTTTCCGCACACACACACACACACACACACACACACACACACACACACACACACACACACACACACACTCACACACACTTAATTTAGTACCACGTATTCTTTCAAATATAACAAAAGAGCACCAAAGTTTGCGGTTTGCAGCAAAAATAGGTCACGTTTATTAGCGACTGCGGAATGAGGTAGGTTGGGAGGGCAGTTTATGCAGTAAATGCAATTAATGGCAGTAACTTCATTACAATCAAAAAGGGAGAAGGAGATAGGGGTGGGGGGGGGGAGAGTTTGAAGCAGCTAGGCTCAATTCGTTCAGTGTATCGCCAACAACTTAATAGAAGAAAAGAGAGCATTGTGCGCACAAGTGTGGAATGGGAAGAGATACAGAGGGATTATGGTGGCAAGAAGCAAAATGACAACATACCATAAAATTTAGTCAAGTTTCCTTACACACACAAACACACGCACGTACACAGTAAAGCAGTAAAGGAGTAAAAGAGGAGTTTGTATTCACAATTTCTGATGGTTAATAACAGTGCACGTAGAGAAGATATAAATATAGTGGAGTTAGAACACTATTTCTACATTGCTGAGGAAAGGAATCAATCTTCTTGTGTACTTTAGCCACGTTTCTCAGACAAGCAGACGAACGAAAGTATAAAAAATAGCGAAAAGCGAGGACCACGTAGCGACGATGTCGGTAGATGCTCCATTTACTTTATCCTTCAACCACCACACCGAGGAAGACTTCACTGATTTACCTGCTGATTGTCGCGGGAGGTCAATTCTCTGCCATCCACCAACGCCCCCATTCTCGTCTCCACTAGTGGTCGATTTTCGGGGTGAATTTAACCGTTCTAGCCCATAGCCACCAGCATAGGGGTTCTGATACTGATGAATACCATTTCTAACCCCATTCGAAAGTATTGGATGAGAGCGATGGTTGTTGCCACCAGTACCATGCCACCTATCGTTTCCAGCGTTATCAATGATTGACTCACTCCAGATGTTCATGTAGTTTGGATCAAATGGGAGTTGAAAGGGTGGAGGAAGCAGGGGAAGGTTTCCATCGATTTCCACGGCATAGGCATCGGGAGGGAATCCAGCGGAGGGTGATTTTGCATTAAATCCTATTGAGGACTGTGGTTGGGGCGACTTAGGCCGAGATAGAACACCAGGAGGTTCATGTTCCTCCAACATTGAAGCAAGTGGATGTCTTTCTCTGGTACTTCGTGGAGTGGAAGGATTTGGACCCGCTGATTTGGTTAGAGAAGGATGATGGGGAGGTTTAGAACTCACTCCATAGAGCGTTAGACTCCATCCAATGAATGAGACTAATAATGAAATGAATTTTAAAAATATTTCACCAATCTCAAATAGCAGGGACACTTAAAACTTTAGGATAAATTAGTTCATTTAAAAAAGAGTTTGAGGCCCAGTTGTTAGTGCGTACGTACACCAAATCAGGCGTTAAGAGATTAATGTTCATCGGTACGCATTCCATGGTAAAAATTGTTAATCACTCTGATTAAGTCCCATGGACGCGATGGGCGGTAGAAAATGAGCTTTCCGTTACACTACTTTTTATGATTCTGGTAAATGTAGTAATTAGCACTGGGCTAAATCTAATTAGTGTATTTATAGCCGTGACATTTAACTGAGTCGGACAGCCAACCATTAACTATAAATTCCCTTTGAGAATAGATAAATATTGGTGTTAAAAAGTGGAATATTGTATCAGTAAAACTTTGGCGTCATGGTTGATGTCAGTCTGACAAGCCCGTAATTGGCAAAGTGCCTAATGGCCAAAAAGTTGAATGCTTTGGGAAGAAAATAAGAGGTAGAACAAAATCAAGACGTCAATTTGAAGTTGGATGGCCCATCGTCAAAAAAAAACAAACACCGTGGAAAAATGTGAGTAGTTAGGAGTTAGCATGCAGTCTACCACATTACCAGGTGTCACGTGATCTAAGTGTAGAAATAAGATCTTGTTGTAAACATTCTCCTGCGGTTATTGCAATAGAGTTGGAGGTGGAGGGAGGGGGGGTGGGGGGGTATTTACATGCGGACACCCAAGTCATTTCCTGTCTTTGGGAGAAACGGTCTCCAGAGTTAACTTCAGTTATATTAGGAGTATCAATTGTCTCGTGTATTCGTCTAGCTTTTTCATTGGTATAGTTGACTGACTTTTTATCATTTGATTCTCAGTTGGGACTGATGCAACTGCTCGCTAAGGTCAGAACACACAGCAGGGATCGGGGGAGGGGAAGAGCGTTAGTTCAGTAAGCAACGAATTATCCATCAGAAGTAAAAAACGGATAATCCACAGACAATTAGGCTTTCAAACGCAACATTTTTTGTTGTGTACTTTTATTAGATACTTCTGTACTTCCTAGTTTTAAATTCTTAATTTAACTACCCTTGTTCTTCCTAGTTAGGTGCCAGGTCTAAGAGATGATAGGAAAGAAATGAGATTAGGTAACTTAGGAAACATTCTGTTGAAGAAATCATTTTGTTATTTTCTTCCGAAATTAATTCTGGTCTTTGTCCCACAAAAAATATGATGTGCTGAGGTTTTAGGCTAATGTTCATCTTTCACTCCTAATGACAATAGAATAATAGTACACATTTTTTCCTTTTAAGTAAGAAATATTTAAATGCTATTTTTTCTGTTTGGCACTATAAATTCTATAAGGCTAAACATTTCTGCCTCTCACTCTGTCTTCTAAGGGCTAGTATAAAATTGACTTATGTCGACACCTGCCTCCCAGAAACTGATTGTCAGCCATTCGTTGATGGCTGTTCGTCTTAGCTTCCATAAACTAGCGATCTTAGTTCCTTTTATCCCAACAAATTAATAGATACTATTGAGAGTTAAGAACCTTAGTGTCTTCATTTTAACATATTCCAAATCTGAGTCGGCTGTAACTTGATTTATATTACGATAGTAGGCGGGGATAACACGCTACGCCTTGAAACCTCAGAACATACAACACTCGTTTAGGCAGCAATGTAACCGGTAAAAGGGCGGTTTACGGGAAGAACATCTCATCAAATGCTGCGATTCACCCCTGCATGAATTGTATCATCGATACGCCTACCCCATCGCAATCGGACAATGAAGGGAATATAAACAATTACCAATCCTAAAATAAGGGATTCCAGTCGCAGTTAGAGTAACTTACCGACAGCATGACCAGAGTGGACAGTGAGGGTCCAAGTTCCATTAGCCATTTCGCCCCAAAAGTGGACAGACATGAACGGCCATGCGTGGAATCCAGCCACGTCGTTATCAAACGGTCGTTTGCTCAACAGTTTACTCTTTGTCCCCATTGGTGAAGTCAGCCAGATCTCAACCTCACCTCGACAATCACTGGTGAGTGTAACCTTGAATAAAGAGGGGAAGTGAAAGTCATTTGTGAATTACAAGAGAAAAGGATTATGAGTTTACGGGTCATTATCAAAGCTAATCAATTATGTTAGTGGAAAATGCATTTGGCTATCCACTCTGGCAGCTGACGAATGAACCGGGAGTCCACCTGGTAGTTCTACCATAAACACTTCTTCCCCATTTGACAGCGAAACAGATAATCAATTGGAGGTTGTAAACAATATCTCACTGTCATGTGGCAGTTGCTACTTCCTTAGAAAAATTGGCAAAATGGTAAATTTAACTGATTAAAACAGGTGAGTAAAGTAATGTGGAAGGGAAAATTGGCCTATTTTTAGCATTTAATCATTGCATTATCAGCTGCATGAAAAAATTACATCAGAAGACATCTATGATCATAACAATCAGCCAATTGAATAAAAAAGATTGAGTTCTATTAAAATTAAAATTGAACATCGTAGAGCTTAAGTGAAATGCTATCTCAGTAAATTGTTTAATATCGTTTGAACATAAAATTTCGTGGGATTTCTTGCATTCAAATAATTTTCATTCTCACTTCATAGGCGGTAGTAAACTATCTAAATGATAATCGATGCTGAAGCTTTTATCTTGAATCGAAGAAGCGCAAGTGGAAAGGTGAAATGTCCTGGATAAGAATTCATTACTCTATGTGTGAATGTTACTTAAGTTAGACAATTCGCCTAAGTCATATATATATATATATATATATATATATTTGGAACCGACTAATGGAAGAAGAAATGGGAGGGGGTGAATGAGAGTGGAGTGAGTGGGTGAGAGAGTATGCGCGAAATCGCTTTGAAGTTCCACAAACGGGTGCTGGGCTGTATCCGATTGTGCTTTCAAGTGAATGCACACACACGCAAAAAATTCCCACTCGGCGAACCGGCATATGGATATGCATATGTGTGCGGTTGGGAAGTGGGAAATTTCAAGAATTTGATGACATACATGGGATGCTTATATTTGCAATTTATTTATATAAAACGCGGATTTGTTGGCAGCAGCCGATGAGGAGGGCACAGTAGTTAAATGCAATCGTGCAACCAACAATGAAAACATCGCAGCCTCCTGTGAAGTCATATCGTAACTTGCCTTGGAATTTAACCAAATGTGGATGTGATGCACTAAAGGCGTTGAATTCCTCCTTGTTTAAGATAATATTTTCAAGGAGAAAAATCATTATGAACTTTAAATCTTGCAATAATAGCTAAGTTGCAGGATTTTTCAACTCTGCTCCCAACGCATCTTGTCGGAAAATGGTGGGCAACTAATTAACAGTAAGAAAGAAAACAAAATGGAAAAAGTTTTAATAATTATCTTGACAAATATGGTAAACTGCAGTGTTCTACAGTGAGTTCCTGTTCAATTCTTTAGCAGTAAGCATCATCTATCAAAACAAGAGATTAAAGCCAAAAAGATATGCCCATTTTTATCAGTTTGTATGCCAGATACCGAAGTTGGAATGTTGTTAATGATTTAATTTCTCAACCTTCTCCCGTATATCCGATATGATGATAAGTGTTGTGAAGTATAAAAACCTTTTGCCTTATCCAAAAAGGAAGATGAAATTCTCGTCGAGTATGACTGTGCATCAAGTGGCCATGATGGACAAGAAATAGTCATGAGAGATCTTGAAACATCTTCGATGGCTCGCATTCTCCCAAATGGAATCAACTAAATTCCACAATCTCAAGGAAGATAGGGAGGCCAAAATAGCATTATATTCCTTTTTTATGACTATGATAGAAATGTCAAGCCGGTTTTCTCGAAGAATAGGTGCCACAATCAGTTTCTATTTCTGACCGATTTCTATTACTAAGTTGTTACCCATCGATCCAACTTTAGGCGGAGGTAAATATAATGATGCTGTCTTGTCTGGTTAGTAAAGTATAGCATGCACACGCACACACAGACACACACAAGCGGTAAAGGTAACATTACACTAGGAAAGAAGAAAGGTGTCAACTTGGCAGATTCACAGACTTCTTTTAAACAGCAATATTTGAACGGGAATATATCTAGTAAACAGAATCTCATAGTTTTATGGCCTTTACAAGTATAACTTAATTTTAACAATGGAATCTTGAAAAGGCTCTAACCTCCGTGATTCTTTGCAATATCTGTGGAATTATATGCCTACAATGGGGTGTGCGATAGACTTACCTCCACGTGGTGGACCCTGGGCAACGTATACTCATGCGGCAAAAAAGTCTATTAACTGGCAGTTGACTTCTCACTTCAAACTACCATCACCCCACTGTATGTCATTGTCGACTTTTTCCACAGTGCTCACCTCACCTTTTTTCTACCTTCGTGTCTGTCTCTTTTACATCTTTAAAACACTCTTCTGTTCACCCTTCCCTCTCGACTTTTTTTCGATTTGATGTTCCTCCTCCTCTCTGTGAAGCCTGAAGTCAACTAAAGGGCTAATGATAACTATCATAAAGCCTGCCATTTGAAATAAATAAATATGTCTACAATTTCATTGATGGAAGTTTTTCATAATTTCAAAGCTATTTACCATTTAAGATTCTTTTTACCTAATTAATTAAAAGGAAAGTGATCAACAAATTTGACATCTAGAGTGGTGAGAGTCTATTTTTAAGAAGACTTACATTTCAAAACGACAAAAACCTGGTCGCCTAGAGTACAAAATAATAGACAATTACTATGGTTCTGTTTATCGAAGAGTTTCGAATTTTT